GTCTCTGCTAGAGAAACTGATTTATGCAATAATCCGCCGTCAAGTTTATATAATTTTCATTTTGCACTATTTCTGTACGATACGTACTGTAAACGTTAATTAACTTTCGAACACTCCGAGTATTATCACGGTTTCGACTGTTGAGCGGAGGAGCGTTTCTATTTTTGTAATTTCAAGATAATTTGCTCTAGCTCACTGATTAAGATGTTTCTGTCGCGATGCAGGAGTTGTTCGCGCGTCTAACAGGATCATCTTGCCATGTCGCAACCATAAAGGCAACTCCGCACTTCCGTCATGCAATTCCTACTTGCAAGTAGTTCTCGCTGATAATACTATTCAGTATTTGCAAGCAAGAAGCTACTGGTACAAGACACTCTAAATTACAGCGTATATGTAATCCGGACTAATAGATATAAGTTATTATGTTAATAAACGTAAGTTGCTGCTTTCGCCGAGCAGAAATAGCGTATCTCGGATTAGGATTCCGTGAGATTGTAAATAAAACGAAGAAGTCGCGAAGAAAGTTGAGAGCTGGGTTACAACATTTTGAGTTTAATTCTCAAGTTTTTCTTAAAATAAGACGATGAAGTGAGCTGGTATATATCAATTTATCAAAGGAGTAAGAAATATCCAATTTGTTTTACAAATAGTTGACAAATGCATGGTTAAATAAGCCCGCTTTCGTAAATTAGGCGCGAAAAAATATAAAATCTTTGTTTGTTAAGAGGATCCCGTAGCCGTTCTGTATTACCGACAGAATTACCATTTTCGTAGTTATAACCTTTCGTCGTATTAAATTCATGGAATCAAAAATGCTTGCGTACAATGACAGTATATGCATTGATAATCCCAGGAAACTCCAATTTTATACCAAAAATGAGTAAAAATTACAAAATTCATATAATTGATCACATATAACCTTGTAGACGCGAACTGTCACTCCGTCATACTTGTGCTTCGTATAAAAGTTCTACAACTTGTACTCACATGAAACTGAGTTTCCTAGGATTCGATGACATGTAGAATTACTGTGAAACCCTCTAAATTAGGATTAGAGGTTTAAAATAAGAGTATAGTTAGTATGAAATTTTCGCGTATGGGTGTGATGTATCGTAGTAGTGTGTCCGTGTGCTCACGTATGCTGCGTTTCGTGTTTAGATGGCGCACACCATCAAAGGCTGGGGGATCCTCTTAAAAAATTAAGAAGAAACCTGAGCGTGGGATTCGAGTCTCGTTATCATTGCGAGATTTTCTTTTTTTTTTCGCGAAAGAATTTGCTAATCCGTGGAACCTGCGGAACTTCACTTAAACTGTTTTCGCAAAATTTTATTCGAAACATATATGGTTTGAAACTTATTTTCTTAGTCGCTTAAAAAAGTTTGGATTATTCATTCGTACACCTAATAATTATTTATGCCACTCCCTTTGCATTTGTTACTCTAAAATCTATTTAATCAGATTGCGAAGACATCGCGCGAACCTGTATCCTTCAGCAATACCTAACTCGCGACAGAGAGACCGGATGCAGAATCTGCTCGGGAATCACCGGATTAGGGAACGTACCGGAATCTCTTGTGAGACGTTCGCGGCGGGGAATCTCCATGCGCGGGTTAAATCGTTAAATGGACCGCTTAATCCGCGCGAAGACCTGTAATTGCGTTGCAATGGAGCGACGCGACAGAGCTCATGGTTTAGCAACGAGACATTTGATTTTCGAAAAAGGTAATCGAGCTGTTGCTTCACTTCACTCGGGTTTACACCGCGGATTTCCCGGGCGCATCTCGAACTGCTCCAGGTACTTGGAGCTAAACTAAACATCGTCTTTTGCTCGAGTAAATGGTGAAATTGTAATTGTCGACGCAATGGAACGAAATTAAGAAATTCACCCTTTGGTTGGATCTTTCATCGGATGATGAGACTTGAGCTTCCACAGTTGAGAAAAAGGATGTTCTGCTAGCCGCAGATATCAGGAAACTAATTAAGGAAAATAATAGATTGCTTGAGGCAAAAATTAATAGTAAAAAGTTTAGTAAAGTAAATATTTAAATTAACGGATTTCTCTCTCTGCATCCTTCACTCTATTAAATGTACATATCAAATCTTAAGAATATAACAATTGTTACGTAACTCTAAAATAAACTCAATTGATTGGAAATTAGAATAGCAATATTTATATAATTAGAGAGATTAAAGTATAAATCGATAAAAAATAGAACAAATTACATTTTATTATTATGAATATTTTTCTTCGTAAGAGCTGCAAAATAAAGAAACACTTGAAAGTTTTTTACGATTCGATATTCCGTTTTCATAAAACGTACATTTATATGTAACGTATCTTTCTTTATGTTACATCATTTTTATGTTATACAACTTTACAACAAAAAGGGATGGAGGGAAGAGAATAAACACACTCTTAAATTACAAACTCTCTCATTATGCGATAAATGCTTCGACGCGTCATTGTATTTCTTGTCTATGTTAATTACAGGCGAAAGCAAGCGGAAAGAAATTGCAAAGAGTCTCTTTGGCTGTGAGCCTGAGAGGAATTAGAATGACGGATTTGGCGACCGAAGAGGATCAGCTTCAGGTGTCGATATACAGGTAGGATTAACATTAGATTAACAATAACAATAATTTTCAGATTGATGTTAAATGCAATTAGCAATTTACTCTGTCATTAATTTAAAAATCTGATAATGAGCTGCATTGAATTACATTTAAACGCAAGTAAAATTTTCTCGAACATTGAAAACTAATATCGGAAACTAGAATACAATAATATTGACTCAATTAGAAATTAGAATAAATTTCAAGGAGAAATACAGCGTATTTCCCTGGGGGGAATATTTTTGTCTGACGAGCGAAACGCGATAATGAATAATTGTTTTTCGCGAAACACGCGCGCCAGCCCGCTCGACTGAAATTTTAATCGTGCCGAGTGAAACTCGCCGTGATTTGCTGCATATTTAGCCGATCTGGCGTCGAATTGTATTTGTTGTACGTATGCCTGAGAGTGCGTCAACAATCCCACGTAATGACGACGTGATGGCGATGGCGCAGCGAGCGATACGATATGCGATGAATGCGATTTCGATATTCGTTACGGGAAATTGCAGGCGCGACAATTTCCGATCCACGAAGCCTCTTTCTCTATCTCGTCGAGCCGTCGCTCGATTTGTACATGGTGATATTTTCAATCTTATTAATGGTTGAGAGGATTATAAATTATAATATAATATACGTAGTATTTGGTGACAACAATTTGTTGCATTAGTCCCGATTTGCAGTATTTTATGCGACACTCAAGCGACACTTTGAAATTGATTTTATATTGAAAAGAATATTGTTTTAATATAAAAATTGGATAACTTTTCACGTGTGTACATTGTTAAAAGGAAATTAAATATAAAATTTATAAATTTATTACGAGTAAAAGGATATTCCGCATTCTATGTTAAATTTACATATATGTATTTTAGTATATATAATTTATATCTCTTCTTCTCCCTCCTTTTGTTTATTTTTAAACAGAAATGTGCATTATTATTGTATTGTTTTGAATTTTTTGTAAGAAGTTAACGTAAAGGACTTTAACCTGAGGTTCCATAATCAAAAATTTTTCAATTAAAGGTAATTTTTGTTTTATATCGCCGAAGAAATGATCAGTGTCGGTCTGAAAGATTAGCGTGCTCTTCCCGTTCACCTTTTAAAAAAATTAAATTCACATTCACGTTCAGTAAAACACTGAATTGAAGCGTACTTGCGGGACGAATAAACGTAAAATATATTATATTAATTGCTTGCACGGCTCGATCTTACGCGGGAATATGTTACGGCGCATATAATGGAACGAAGAATAATTGCAGCGACAAGAAAGATGTGCGGTAAAAAAAAAAAAAAAAACTTGGAGAGACATATCGCGTTCTGGGAGAGAGTCTCGCCGAATTTCCGCGCGGCGCGAACGAACGGACGACCGAAATGAACTTTTCTCGCGATAATGATCCCGCGGACTCGTTAGACCGGCCGGCGAAATACCGAGCGGTGGTTTCCATTGTTACGGTGAAAACCCGCCGGCGGTGGGCTTTGTTCCTCCGGTGCATAATACGCCCGGAGGTGCGCTAAAGTGGCGAACGAGAAATTTCATGGGACGCGTGAAAAAAGAACGACGACGGCGTGCGCGGCGAGGGTTGACGTGCCGGTTATAAATTCTCTTAATCTCGCCGCTCGGCACCGTTAATGGCGAGTTAATTAACCGGCGTGCAAAGACGCGCGGCTGAATAAAATTAAGCCGCGGGATTAAGAGCGTTAAAGAGCATTATTTCGGGGGCCGATGGCGTTATCGGGTCTAACCCGCAATAGCGTAACTTGGAAATTCCAATACTAAAAGAGAGGGGAAGAGGAAGGAGATGAAAGGGCAAGTGGGTGAATGGAGGAAAGAAAATAAGGGCGAACAAGGGGGAAGGAAGGAAGAAGGATGGAAAAGCGGGAAAAAATTTTAAGGAGAAGAGAAGGTTTGTAAAAACCAAGCCTCGTGCGAAGAAATAGAAATCATTCTATGATTATTATTTCTGCAAGAATCACTTTATATGTATACGTATATTGAATCGTTCTATTTGAATTACTATTATTACTATTTTGCGCAATATTATATGTACCTGTCTTTCACCATGCACGTATAATATTAAACGTTGCGAAATTTATATGATTACATTACATACGCGTATATTACAATTTAATTATAACTTTATTTGACCGTATTGATTATGAATATTTATTGAAATGAACCGAGCTTGTTATCTAGAATGAGAGATGAAAATTCCACCTTGATAAGGAGCTCGTAAAACGCCAGCTCATTGTGTTCATTCTTTTGTAACCGCCGGCAGTGCATTTTGCTCACGCCGCCCTTTGCATATTACTCTCGTTTCCCTCAGGGAATTTAGGATTCGCCTAAGTGCCCTCCAGCAAATTTTCGACTATTATACACGGCGAGCGAATACCGCCGTGCGACATAAACGGAAGCGGCTGCCGTTGCGAGCGATGGGCGTGGATTTGCATATCGCAGTTGCGTCGCGCCGGATATGCGTGCGGACTCGCGCGGAAGATCGAAAGTTATCAGTATTGTTAAGAACGGCATTGCTAAACCGCGTGAAGACGGTTAATGTGATAGATAACAATTAACATCTACTTTCAATGGAAGAAAAACGATTGCAGATCCCTTATCGATAGACAACTTCTCACTTAAGGGGATGCTGGAGTGACGGCTAAACTCCGACGGGATAGTTTGAAAATTTCAAAGACATAATGCGATACGAATTCGACTTCAAACCCCAATGTTTTTTATATGAAAATGTTCTACTGTGCAGTCCACACACCGCTCTGGTATTATTTTGTACATAAAAGCCAATAATAAGATTTACAAACGCAAAAACTGTATGCGACTCTGTCGGTAAATCAAACCGCTCCAGCATCCCCTTAAGGTGATGCTGG